AGGCTTATGGGTATTGAGAAAATGTTAGGTATTTTGTCTGAGTATCTGCGTATTTCAAAAACAATTGTATATTACAAATATGCTTTTCATTATGCACTGTAGAGTACCATCCCATCAGTTTTCTATGTTTGTTCTAGAGCAAACTCTATATCCATTTCAAAGTTAGCGATCGCAATTCTTTCCAACCTGGTGATTACTTCATGAAATGCAGGTCGAATAAAGTACCGTGGTTCAGAGCAATAAAGAATCTATGGTGTGCTGAAGTTGCGGCTTTATATGGAATAAATTGAATCTGGAATGAGTTAGTGCCCCCGGATAAGGTACGTCGGCCGCAATGTGTCGACGACCCAGCGAAGCGTCCCGGCGCATCCAGGCGCCTGGTTCGACGACCCCATTACCCCGTGACCTAATTTCGTTTGCGATTTATACACACCGAATAGGGATTCTACAACTTTTTGTACGGAAAACCAAAATTTCCATCCAGGTTCTACAATTTAAATCAGATCAAATTAGATCAAGTTCAAAATTGATTTTGGCGATTAGTAAGGTGACCATACATCCAGATTTTCCGTCTTGGGTTCCGGTCTTTTTTAAAAGCAATAATTGTGCCAGTTTTAAGTGTTTTGTCCCGGATTTTCAAAAATGTTTTGAATGACAATATTTCTTAAATATATTTCAACTAGAAAATATCAACTGAAAAAATGTGTATATAAATTTTTAGCTCACCAACAATTATGGTCACCTTACAATTAGGCTTTTAAACTTTGAGTCAGCTAATTCTAGGATAACATAATTATGTTATGTTACCGGTCTGGTACGTTAAATAATTTCATGAGTTAGTGATCAAAACTAAGCCTTTACTGTTCAATCGAATATTTTGCGCTATATTAACTTCTACAAGCTAACGTCCAAATATATATTCAATATATTTCATAATGACTAACTATAAAAATTATTTTCATATAGGGTAGAACGAGGGTTAAAGGTCCGCGGATAAAAAAGTCCAACGACGATATCTCAAAAATAACCAAAGCCAAGAATTTTTAAACAATAATTTAATGTAATGGGAAAAACATGTATAACCAACCATTATCTTGATTCTGAAAACATTGCTGTCGAGAGATACACGCCAATGTTTGAAATTCCATAACAAAAGTATTTAATTTTTATACTCAGCAAAAACACATTTTTAATGTTGAATTAGCTGGGAATTTCACTGAACATAGTCAGACAGTAATTTGTTTGATATGTGCTATTTATTATAATATAATTTTTATTACGAGATTGACAATAAGTGGTTTTTCTCGTAAACGAATTTACTCGCGTACTTGTGCAGGTAGCAATAGATTGTGATGTCGTATTAAAACACTATTATTTCCTCTAGAGGTAAAGCTGAAGTTAAAAAGTTAGATCAAAGTGTCTATTCGTGCTGAATTTATTAGAAAAAATCTTTCTACATATTTAAATACAATTAAAATTAGATGTGAGCGGCTTGAGGCAAGTTGCATGAACTTCCCTATATGTTCAAATATTCGACCTAATATTGTGGATATATTAATATTTATGAGTAAAAAAACTGATCGACCGATCTTTACCGACTAATCAGCATGATCCCATCTAATATCTATCAAAAACTTGTTGAATTTTCAAAACTGGTTGAAAATTTTGGGCAAAAACATTTACGAAAAATTTTGCACTTATCTGTTAGTTATGAATTTTTTTTCAAATTGGTGAAGATGTTTTTGGCTCACATACTTTTTCATAATTTGTAGTGTAAAACGATTCAGAATAATTTGGCCAGCTAAATAAAAACTTTTTCCAAATGTTAAAAAAATGCCAGAAACAGAAGCAACTATGAAATTACTATATTTTCTGCAAATATGTCGATATGTTTTTGTATACTGAGTCATGATGTGTTTTTTAACAATTTAGTAACTTTTTAAGATTTGACAATTTTATGTCTCAAACTAAACACAAATCTGTAATTTTTTTACATATTTTTTAAATAAAACTCAATATTTATTCTTCACACTCACTATATTTGAGAATATTTTACAATCAGTCGTTTATATAATGTTCATTATTGTAACTATACTTTATTTATATCATACAGAAATTATGGACATATAATATTTTTATAGGGTGGAATTAATTTGACTCAGATAATTTTCTATATATATATATAACATGAATTTATATATTGTATTTGGTAACCAACACCGTGTTTAAGCCATCAATTTTGGAAGCTATAAATGTTGAAATATAAAGTAATTTTATTAAAATATATTAGAAAATTTAGCATATTGACTTAGATATAATATTTTATAGTTTTATTCTTATATCTATCTTATATATAAAATTTGTTAAAAAAAGTCTAAACCGGTTTATAATTACAAAATAAGATAATATAAAAGTATTGGTTATTAAATAATAATACAAATTGATTTTTGCTTAATATTGAATTAAAAAAGACAGATATGTAAATATTAGCTATTAGAGAATATTTCAGAAAGTGCTAAAGAAAACATAGTTGCAATTCATAAAACTTTGAAGAGACTTTAATTTAAGAAGGTTATTGTTATCAATATATTTTCTATTATAAAAAAATATCTATGTTGTATAGTGCAAAAACTTTAAGTTCGATTATACAAAATTTGATATATTTTTAAATTGACAATGTCAAATTGATTGCGTTAGTTTATCAAATAATGTCATTTTAATAATAGAGCACTCTCAACATGTATTGATGATCGATGTTTTTGCCAAAGTAACAAGAAAGAGCCGATCAAAAATTCTTTTTAAAGTATAAACTTGAGTTTTATTTTCTATCCCTTATGATATCAAATATCTGTAATATTTAACATTCACCATCGACAATATATAAAAATAAGCGAATCTAGTTTTAAATTCTTTACATTATAATTTTCTATGAACATCTATTAAATATAGTTTAAATGCATTAGGTACGTTGTGAGGAATATTTTGAAAATCTCACGCTTGAATCAAAAGGAAAACTCAAATTTAAGCTGACAGTTTCAGATTGAGCTTCTAAAAATTATATAATGCAGTTGAGTGCACATATTTTAAAAAGCACTGGAAGTGCATCGATAAAAAAATTAGTTCAATATATTTTAAATTTCAAAATCTTATTCTTATATCTACATTATTCCATTTATTGAAACATTAAAGCTTTAAACAGTTCAGAAGAATGAACTCTGCAGTTAATGGACAGTCAATTAATTTATAATATCTATGACATGTAGGTATATCTATATAAAAATCATAGAAAAACATTCATTTGACTTATTGAAAATCAGTAAATATCTGAGGCCTCAAACTAGGTCTGATATTCAAAATCAATTTTTTCAAAAACATCCAGTAGCTAAATTGAAATATATAAATTAGTTATAAAAATGTTTTTGAGCATATGTTATATCTGACTTTTACCAGAAGTTATTTTTGTTTGTTCTTAATATTTGTACTCTGCATCAAGTTCTATAAGCTAAACAATTAATGTGCAAAATAAAAAATAAAGCCTAACTTATTCAACGACATTCAGAAAACATAGTTCCATAGAAAAACTATTAAAAAAAACTCTAGTAAAAATACGCGTTTTGCTGTTGAAATTATAAATGATTCTATTACCATTATTATTTACGTCCATATGGCCCTTATTTTGATGAAGAACATTAATAATTGACACGGAGAATTGAGATTCAGACAATACAAATATCAAATTTGTTTTAACATAAAGTTTTATTGTATCAAAAGACAAACATTTTTATAACTTATTTACAGATAACTTACACGGGAACACTTGTCTACGGTGCAGTCCATTTTTCTCAGATTGCATTATCACAGAAATCTTAGGTCTGCGATAATATTTTGTATAACATGTGCTTATTCGAAAACTAAATAATAATTACAACTCACATTAATATTGGCAGAACTTTATCGTTTAAATTGGCCCAGAGCCACAAAACAGCTCAACGGGGAAAGATACCATGGGAAAAAATAAAAAAAAGTTAAATTTAAATATGACAAAAAACAATAGGCCTATTTTAGATACAATATATTTGCAATATGAAAAAAAATGCGTTGGCAAATATTTTCGTAAGATTTTTTAAAACTGTTGAATATTAGTTTACTATTTCCCAAATTTATCTTTCCCATGGCACCTGTATCCCTTATACATGTTACAGATATAAAATTGAATTCAATATGGAATTAGACCAATAGTATTAAAATTTGATAATCTTTGCATAAATATTGCTGGCTAATAATATTGTTAAAAAGTCTTATATTTTATATTAATTAAATATTTATGTACATTTAAAAATTTAAATCTTTGGCCCATGTTGGGACTCTTATAAGAGCATGCTGAAGTTCTAGGCGGAATTTAGAAATCACTTTAAAATATATCAATATCTATCTACACTAATACCTTTTAGTAGTTTATATAAATATAATATGATAGTAACTAAATGAGGACTATATCACAGGTAGACATTTTTACCATTACTATACACTATATAAATATAATAGTATTTTTTTTACAAAAAATCCAAACGTTTACGATATTTGTCTTATCATGATTTTGTGCTGCCAGCGATTCATTTATATATTTTGATAATTATTATTTAATATACATCAATTTATACTATTAGTAATTATCCTGTTATATAGTCCTTCGCTTTTGCTATCTATTCACGATCAGTCTCAAATGAAGAAATGTACAATACAGGCTTTGGACAACCTTAGCGATAATTATCATTTTCATGTCATTGATTATTTCATATATATTTGATAAAATATTTAAATATTGAATTCGTTTTACGAACTAAATAACTCATCACATTTAAAAACATAAACATGTATAATACAAGTAACAATAGATATTATAAAATTTTAAATTTATTAATGGAATTAATTAATATTTTTAAATACAATATTTAAATATTTTATCAGATTTGCAGTTCATTTTATAAATTAGTATCATCTTACGCTCTACGTTTTTTCAGACTATTCAATTCTTGCACAAAATCTTCGCCGCTGGCCACAAACCTTTTTTTCATAGGAGCTTTCTTTTCCACCTGTAACAAAAAGAAATTATTTTGAGATAAATTAATTAACTTTGTCAGTTTCATATTTTCAATATTTTTACACATGACAATACATAGTGCTAAAAATATATTTCTTAAGTGGTTGTTGGTGGTTCATGCTGTGTTAATAATGGTTGTACACATCGTTATCAAACATAATTCAGCTCTTAGGCTTTAACTTGAGAAAAAAATATATCAGAGATATTAGAACGGAAACATAATTATTGCATTATCATAAAAAATCAATTAAAATTAATAAAATTAATATCTATAAAAATATTTGACCATAAACTTAGCGGGAACTTTATACTAGTATGTTAACTAGAATACTCGAAAAAAATGTATTATATGTATACAGGGCTTTATAAACTCAATTTATTTGCGTTGTAATTTTTGCAATTAGGTCATTTGGAATATAGAAAATTTTGGAAACTGTTAGTATAATTTTGGATTTTGTGACCAACTAAGATTTGCATGCGAAGAGTGCTGGAATCGTTTGCTGGTACCATGAAGATAATTTGAATGTAAAAATTAATACTCAAAAAATTGTGTCGTACATAAAAATTATGTAGAACCAAACATATTTAGAACAAAAAGGAAAAATTAACAGAAAGTGTTTGTTACTAGAAAATGTAAAAATACATAGAGTTGACAACAAGTTTTATATTATATGGACTTGGATGATAGTAATTGTCCAAGTGCAGAAAATTGATCAATATATAGAAGTAATTTTATTTACCTCTTCTCCAAGATCCTTTTCCATAGCGATTAATTTCCTAATCGTATTATAAACCCCAGGTGCTGATCTCTTTTCGTGATAAGAATTATTTTCCTCCTCCAATAATTCCGGAAGCTTGAAAGCTTGCACAGCAGGTCTCGGCTGAACAAGTTCTTTCTGACCCGACGGGTTTGTCGTTGTCGTCGTTCCAGCTTTGTTTCCATTGGATTTTGTATTGGAACTAGGTGACCTTTTGGAACCCCAGTTGATCCAAGCATCTTCTTCATCTTCACCGTCGGCATAGTCGTAAGGTGCTCTTTCGAAATGTCTTAGAGACATTTTGCTATTGTCTTTGAAATCTTCTTCATGAGGTTGATCCTCGTAGAGTTTTGGGGTCTGGTATGGTTGTGTTCTGTACATGTCGAATGGATTATCATAGTAATCTTCGGGGTAGTAGGAATGCTGCCTTGGTCGAGCGTTGTATTTTGTGTAGTAGGCTGGGTAGTAATCGGCAGGTGCGTATGCTCTCATTAAGTTAGCCTCTTCACCGTCGTCGTACCACCCTGTAATAGAAAAAAATTGATAATTAAATATTTTTTAAACCTAGTACTAATAAAATTAAATTGAATAGTGTGAATTATCTAAATATCAATACATCTCGTAGAACCATGAATGTCCAATAAATCAGTTGAGGATTAAACGATTCAAAATATGACGGAGTTTATGAATGAACAAATAGATGAAAAAATGGATGACAGAATAAATGAACACAAAACAATTCAATGTTTGAATGAACTGAATAAATAAAAATATATAAATGGATCGGCAAATAAACGTATGTGCAAAAGAATAATAAATTGAATAAATAAATGCCTGAGTTAATTGATATTCGACGAATGAATGAAATAAATGAAACATCAAATGAATAAATGAGTATTTGTCTATTTTCGAATGAGGATTATATGCATGAGACCATTTGCCGTCGCTTATATAAAATGAGCGTGTTATAAATTACTCATAAAAATAGTTTTTCGGAACCATGTCATAAAATCTATTCATATTTGAATCAATATCTTCAAATAATATATCAATTATAACAAAGCGTCTGTACAAATGTATTAAGGGGCACAACTAGTATGAAATTTTCAAAAAATCGAATTTTTAGTTTCGATAGATTATACCTTCAAAAATAACATACCAAAATTTTAAATCGATATCTTAAATAGTTTCTGAGCCATTTAAAGAGTATATATATAGTATATAGTATAACGATCATTTAATCTTTAAACGCGTTTTTCTCTAAACAGCATTTTCCGAATTTGCTGCAGCGATTACTCAAAAACAAATTTTTTAAATTTCATCCACTTAGAAGGCCGGAATCACTGCAGCAGTGAAGGGCCTTTTTTGTCGCGCCGTTGGAAATCGACGATAACTTGAAAAATATTCAATTTTTTTCTTCAAAAATTTTACTATGTATTCTTAAAGCATGTATAAATATATTCCTAAAATTTTGAAACGATTGATAAAGTAGTTTTTTTAATATAAATTCCCAAAAATCACCTTTTTTAGGCGGTTACACTAGTTGTGCCACTTAATTGAAAATCAGTGACGAAAGCGACAAATAAAAGTTCAAATGAATAAATAATAATTATATGGTTATTTTCGGATCTTAATTATATACATGATATCCATAGCTTGTATAAAACGAGTTTGTCATAAATTACTCATAAGAGTTCATTGGTACATTGCCATAAAATAAATCTATATTGAAATGAATATCTTTAAATAATATCTGACTTAAAATGAAGCGTCTGTATAAATCTTTATGTATGCCATAAAATCATTTGTCTCGATAAAGCAAAAGCTCTATGCACATTTCTTAATAAAGCTCTTACAATAAAATGCTCATATCCATAACTATAAACGAATATTCTATATTGAAGTCAATATTTTATTAGTACGTCATCGTAAAAAATTACAATAGCTATTAAAGCGTACATTATTTTTCCATTATTTATAAATTGCGTCTAGTCACAACAGTATCATTACGCATTGGGTAATGGATAATAAGAACGTCAAGTAATATAAATATTATATTATTCAATATTATTATGAAATATTACGAAACCTGAAAATGGATTTAAATTATTTTTTATCAAATCTATTATTTTTACCTTCTTCTTCCCGTCGCATGGTGTCCTCCAAATCTTCAACCGGATCGCTAACTGCGTATCTCGTCGGATAGTATAAATATTGCTGCTGATACCGACGGCGTCTGCTGTCCGGATAATAATAGAACCCAGACATATCGTCTTGTTGCTGGGCTTCTGCATAAGCTTGCTCAGGGTAGTATCGGACTGCTGAAGGTTGTTGTCGCCATGATGAAATTGGAGCCAGGGAAGACGATCGAACTGCTGAACCAGTTCCTGGTCTGTTGTACCTTTTGGTGCCGTAGATTGGGTAGCCGTTTGACATGGGATATGCTGAAGATAGCGTCGGAACTGCGATGCAGATTAGGAGGACTTCGACTAATGACCGCATCTGGAGACAAGGATAATTGATTGAAAAATGGCGATTTTGGAGCTCAAAATAAAATTATGAATGATAAAATTCTAATCAGATGCTGATGCCATTACGCGTAGGCTTGTTCAGATTGATTAGATTCAAATTTGGACTGTATGCTTTTATTGCATCTAAAATAAACTTAGCACTATTGTACTGCAATAAAAAAACTCGGCTCATAAATTGAAATAAAATAAAATCTAAACAAATATATAATAAGATTTCGACATTTCAAACTATTGGAATAAATAATAATAATGATATTATTAAAATAATAATAATAAATTTTAAACTTGAAATAGAATTACATAAATATGATGGTTTCTATTTTTGCAGCTATACATAGTACCTATGCATTTCTTGCTATGAATAGTCTTGAAATTACTTCTTATAAATTACGCCTCTTGGTTTTTAATTTTGTATTTAATACATATGTTTTTTACTTCACTCTGCAAAACTTTATAAAAACCTATAACATTTTAATTGTATGTTCGATAATTTCTATATATTACTATCTATTATCACTTATAATTAAACAACTTGTTGAAGCGTAAATTCTGCTAATTTGTAAGCTTCGACAGCTTTCAATTAGTTTCATTATTTTCCATCGTTTATCAAGTTGTTTTTTAATTTAAAATAATAAATATGTTTCATTTATCATTTGAAAATATTTTAAGATATTTGGAATAATGATAGGCCCAGGAGACTATCAAAAATGAGGTCGATATATGACCTAATTTCAACAGGTATCCCTGTTATAGCTCTATTTATATTTCGACCACTACACCACGAGCCCTCTACGTATTTATATCATGAGATATATATATATATATATATATATATATATATATATATTTAGAAAAAAATGTAATATTGTCGGCATCAATTTAGTAGCTTAAATTTCAAACACATTTTTCTCTATGTTGTTGATAATATAAATTAATTAAAATTTTTTTTAGAATTTATTGTTTGGTGTTTTATGCTTTAATATAATATATTTTGAGTTAATAGGCAATTTTATCTCACATTTCTCTAAATTGAATATCAAACAATAGGAACTCATTAACTTATTTTCTACTAATCAAAAAACAACATTTATTCAACAAAATATTTAAATATTTTCTCTTAAATAAAAACTTACATAATTATTTTTAATATTGAATACCATGAAACTATTTATCATAAATATACTTAAATAAATAGTTTTTTTAAAATTGTTATATAGAATAAATACATAATGAACACAATCATTAACATTGACCATTGTTTATTCATGTTTATTTAAAATTTTCATACAATATATTTAAAATATTTACTATGCACTGCAAAACGTTTTATCAACAAATTCGTATAATGTTATGGATAAAAAATGTTTGTACTCACCGTGTTGATAGTATAAATCCAATTAACAATCACAAAATTTCACTTTCAATATGCACAAAACGCCTGATCAAGAAAACTGTTTATATATTCCGTTCGAATTTTATTTCAAAACGTAACGGTATGCATCCTCAGGAGTTCGGAGCATAAAAACACCGACGACCGGAGAAATTATCTTATATACGGGTCCTCCCCACCGATCGCCCACGCGAAATGAATGAAACTCCGGTTCTTGGACGAGGGGGGCCGAGGCAAGGGCCTCTACGTCACACGCCTACGTGCCCATTGGTCCCTGGATATTGATCGCGTAGTCTCGCGCGGTAAAAGACTGCCGTTACAAGTGCTACGACGAGACGTAGCACTACTCTACGCCGAGGACGTTCGTCTGTGATGCTGGCCCCGGATCTCGGATGCTCCAGTACAAATTGCAGCGCGTTTTCCGGGTATCCAGGGCAGATTCGACCACCCCGCGGCACCCCGTTGCACCCCCTTATAGTTTTCCGGGACTCCGCGTTCATTCACAAAATGCGAAAATCTGAGTGGGAGTCTGTGCGATGACGCAACGAATGATTTGTGACGCAGAAATCTTGCATGTGTGCATGATTTTGCATCTGTATATGTTCACGAGAACATTCGGCTAATGCGTTTGTGTATTTTGCTTGGGAAGATATGCATGTGATCCGATTGTATTTTTTGAAGACGTGACTCAGCAGATTTTCAGTTTTACTACATCATTTTTCATTTGACATTGATGTCTGTGTTCATGATTAATGCCGCATAGTCAATAGAGACGTATATTTAGATAGCAGGCGATTAAATCATTGTTTGGTCATTAACTTTTTATATATATCTAACTACGTAGCTATATATTAATAGTATATATATATATATATATATATATATATATATTTATATATATATATACAACATATAATATAGAACGAGACACAAAGGTCCAATTTGACTTTGAGCAATTATATTGTAAATACTAAACGAATTATATCACAACAAACATTACATATCAGACAGACAAAATATATTTTTTTGCTTTGCTTTGCTTTTTGAAAATTTTTTCTTAGTAAATTTTGCACCATAATTGTGGTAAATTGGGACGGCCAGAGGGCAAACAGGTCCATTGCCTTATTTCAGTTTTAAAGAGATTTTACAAAATAATACCTACATTATTCAACTAATGTAAAATATAAATTTTATGAGTGCATTTTTATAGAGATGTAAAAACACTGTAAATAACCTTGATCTGGTATTTCGTCAGCAATATTCATCAGCAGGAAGTTGTAGTAGGAATATTCATAGTAGCTGGAATAACTACTAATTTATTTTATCTTTAGTAAAGTTGCTTTCTTTAACCAAATTCACCTTTTCATTTACTATATTTTATTTACTATATTTTTTACACCTTTGCCAAGGTAAAGGTTCAGTTGTTCCTTTTTTATCCCACCTAGATGTATGCTTTTATAGAAGTTATATAAAATATAAACTTTAGAATCTAACTTTAAATTAACAAACCATATCATAATACAATTAAATAATGTATACTTAGAAGTTATATTAAGGTCCTGTAAACTAGACAACAGTGTTCACAACTAACAACGAAATAAAATACTTTTGTTATGGATTTTCAAACATTGCCGTTTATGTCAGTGGACCTTTTTACCCACAAACCATTAAGTCCTTGATTTTATTTCAAATACAGAAAAAATAAGAAGTTCGATTTAAATAACTCGTAAGCTATAAAAAAATAATAAAATAATAAAAAGCTACACAATTAAGGATTTGATTATAAAATACAAAAAATGTTCTTAGACAAAAGTATTTTAATAAAAAATTATCAATCTTTTACTCAATACAAGCAATTACTCAACTATGTATATGAAAGGTTACGCATACTAACCCTGTAAAACAATTGGAAGCATTTCAATGTTATTTGCAATGGTTCTATTTATAGGAGATGTACTTGAGTTTCAGAGATATATGTGAGAACAATTCTGGAGCCACACATGTCCTTGTGTATTGGTAATCCAATATCTAAAACATGTAATTAAGTTCGCAAAGTTAACAAAAGCTCGTAGAGTTTCGAAGAACCTTGTCAGTTAATGAGCTTTCAGCAATTCTAAGAGGTAATAATACATTACGTATAGTGAAGAATTACTGTTAAATCATTGGGAGGTCATGGAGCTCGAGTTGAAAGCGTAATTGTCTTCTTGATCCACATATAACTTTGAAGTCAGTTTATTAAAAATATTAAAACAGAAACTATATGTATATATATATATATATATATATATGTGTATATATAGCTATGTATAAATTATTATTTCGAATAATTTCCATATATTATAGATTCAAATCACTTTTTAAACTCCTTGTGTGTGTACTGACGTGAAAACGAATCAAAATATCCTCAGATATTGCTTTCTTGAGCTTTATGTAAAGATATTATTATTCCCGCGCTCTAAGAATAGAACAGAATAACTTATCAGATGCGTTATTCTATGGTGCCTATGTTCTTCATATGATAAACACATGTTCACAGAATAAAATAAAAGTTTATCGGAGCTTTCAAACATTGCAAATATCTTTATCATACAATATCACAAGGTAAAAATTGTTCGTTCATGTAATAGACATAAATAATATAGTAAAAAGTTTTATTCGTAAACACGTTTTTGTACTAAAGAATTTTTTTTTATTTATGATGAGTGAAGGATGTCTTTCCGACGAAGTTGCAGTTTTTGCCAATTTTTTTTAATTTATAGAGAAAATGCTCTACATTTCAAGTCATTCTGAATTGTCTGACACCAAATTTGGAAAAAAATATGTGACATAAAAATTATGATATAATTTATTTAACAGTATCGCGTGAAAGTTTCAATCAATCAAGTTTTCAAAGGAGTATTTACATGTTAGCAGAAATAACAAAAATATTTGTTAGCAGAATTACTCGTTCATATCTAATCGATTATTTTTCAAATGAAGTATGAGTATTATTTAGTTTTAATTGGTTGTTATGAAATATTTTAGTTCATGAACTTAATGAAAATGTTATCACTTTATATATTTTTTAACGATCCTCATTAATCCTCATCATCACATGATGTTTAATGCGCTTCAGATGTTTCTGGTAATTAGTAGCAAATATAATGAAACTGCAATCGCTGTATTAATCAATGTTGATACATGGAACGTTGTTGTAACAAGGTCGCATACCTGGAATGATATTTCTGGGTACTTTATAAACAGATTCGGCGAAAGCGCCTCGTATTTCAATTATTCAAGCGCTATCATAATTATTCTAATTGCACGCGGAAACACGCACGTCCGCACGAAATTTGCGCCCATGAAGAATTATATTGTTTTATATCTTTAGCGCTTTATAACTGCAAAACATTTTTATTAAAGCTATTTATAAATTTCGTATTAATCGTGTAATTAAGTAAAAATATGATACCCACATATATTCAAAATGAGACGTATGTTTCACAATATCATCAAAAATTGTAGATATTCATGATAGACAATTCTTAAATTATATTTTTCAAACATCACTTATAAAATTTCTTCTGTATTTTTTTTACTGGATCATATTTGTGTTATATAGTTTATAAGTTTATATGGTTATATTATTTTTATTATTATTTTTAAATATATTTGATAACTGGTGGTTTACTAAAATTCTCAAAAATGTTGATGTCAAAGCAACTACAAAAGTTCTGAGCTCAAATCTCGTGTTGCCTACAACTTGTAATTAGAATTCTGAAAGCTTATAGAAGTTGAATATAATATTTAATATTACATACATTCAGGAACTTAATATTAGATTCATTTTTTTCAATAATTTATTTATCTAGGATGTTAATTACTCCTTTTAGCAAATATTTTTCCTGGTAATGATGAATGAATTATTATAAATATGATTCAAAATTTTGGGAACACTGGGCCAAAGCACTTTTTGTAAGAGTGTACCTACCGCAGGGCTATGACGTCAGTACACGTTTGCGTGGGCAGACGACTGGTAGTTATATTAGATCTTGGGATGAGTTAGGCCCACATAACGTTACTGTACGAAAACTTCGAGAGCTCTTCTTGATACGCTTACATTTATTTATATTGTCTTATAAGAAGCGCTTACACATGCTATCATAAAATGTACACGTATTGCGCTTTTGGAAAATACACGAAAAAGAGACATTTGTGATTTATCAGTACCTTTAATTCTGAATTCAGACCGTTTCTTCCCAGCCGGAGCGTACTCGGCGTCTCCACCGTATTTTCGGTAGAGTTCTTTATTGACAATTTATTTTTTATTCACTAAATGAAAGAAAAATTAGATCATATATATATATATATATATATATATATATAAATAAATATATTGTATCATTCAAAATAAAGATTATTTTTTAGAAATGATATTAATATTAACATAATAAATATTCACACAAAATTAAAATTGGATTAGTACTTAAAAAAATAGACTTGGATGCTAAATATTTACATTAAATAAAAATTGGATTAGTACTTAAATAAATAGGCTTAGATACTAAGTAGTATATAACATTATATACATTACATTAAGTAGTATATTGCATTATATATTACATTAAATTACAAAGTACCTATACATTCAAAAAGTAATTTTGGAAATTAACTTAATTCATAATTAATTTCTTATACACACGAAAAAATAAAATAAAAATCTATGCATGAGCAATATCAAATTAAAATTAGTATTTTATCTAAGTATACTTTGCTGGTAACTAGTATATTGAAAATACGAAGCACGTACTTAAATATTCAACAAGTTAAAGGTAATTTATTTCACTTATTGGCACATTGCGTGTTTTCTGCAATTAGCAATTCTTCCGACACATTAGCGATATGTCAGCATTCTGAGTCGATAAATAAACAACTGTTGAAGTTTTTTGTTTCTACATACTTAAAATATTTCATTTTGTATTTATCTATATATGTGCATAACAGCAAACTACCCCTCTTAATGATTTTTCTTGTTTTCAAAACAGAATCATATTATATCTT